AAGATCTCGCCGACGAGCTTCCCGAGACGTCGCCTCGATTCATCCTTCTCAGTTACCCGTTGACTTTGGTTCGTTGCCTCCTTACCCTTGGTTTCTGCTGCGGTCGCTCATCGCGGGTCGCTAATATTGCATTTTCTGCTCTGGTCTAGCCGTCCGGCCGTCTCACCGTCCCCTATGTGATGCTCTACTACCTCCCCGAGAACTGCAACCCCTCGCTGCGGATGATGTATGCGGGTGCCGTCGAGTTGATGCGCAACACCGCCGAGGTGAACCGTGTGATTGAGGTGGAGAGTGAGGAGGATATCGTGGGGATCGAGGCCAGATTGCAGAGTCAGAACTGAGTTGGCGGTCCGGGGGTGCAGGATGAGGTGTTGGTATATATCATCTTTCGGGCTCGGGCCTCCTTCGTGGGTCTCTAGCCTGTCTTTTCTTTTGAGCTCATATATCGAGCGCTTTTTAATAGTATATTTAGCGGTGTACGCTATTGCTTTTGAGATTGAAAAATTTTTGGCTGGGGATGGGTTCTGGTTCTGCTGGTGAGTTTTTGGTCTCTCTGGTGGGGACGCGGATCTTGAGGTTGATATCGTTGTTCTGGACGGGATAGATTGTTGCACAATCGGTCACGGTAATGGATCTGTAGAGCTGCCAACCTTGCTCTAGCGTTGCTGCTGACTGCAGGTCTGACGCAACAGCCATCCCTCCAAGGGAAACAAGAAGGAGACTACCGGGACTGAGACAGATCTCCTCATGGCACCAAGCGTGTTCCCAGTCGCACCACCATGACTGTAGCAAGGCACACTCGACTATCGGCCCCTCTGCAATGAATGCCTCAGGCGGCAACAAGGTGGCCCATGTCTATAAGGAAAACACATAATCAAAAAGACCAGCCCGGTGCTCGACGATAGGCTTGTTGTCAATCAGATTGACCCCTGGACACGACCCGACAGTTCTTGAATTCATGTACTGTGTAGCTTCCCAGCCACCCGTGGCCCCCCTCAGCCCCGTCCCAAGTGCTTGGGAGCCATGACGGGTGGAACCCATTTCCGGGGAAAAGTTGATACATCAACTTTTTCCCCCACTCAATGTCTGGATGTATGGTACCTTTGAGCCCTTGTAGGTTTAGTAAGAACAGATGATCGACGGTCATCATCTAGGGTGTACTCAGTAGTCTATGCTGTCAAACTTGGACTCCGAAGCCCTGATATCAACGATGCCCTAGGAGGTCAGATTCTGAATTAATCCTCCTAGTATGAAATAGACCAGCACCCATGTCCCGTGTTGACGGAGGCCGACGGAATGCCGTGAAGGCCATTTACAGAGGTAAAGTATCCGTACTGTACCTTGCAATGTGTGATGTGTGATGTATGCTGTTTGAGTGATAGTGTCCACTGCTCTTTCATGAGTACAGTATGTGACTCCACAGTGGAGATAAGATGATTCGGACAGATGATCATAGCCTGAATGCATATGTCCAAAGTAATGTACACTCACAGTACTAGGCCGTGGTGGGTAGGAGGCCCAGCTGCTCGTCTGCCAGGTGGCAGGTGGCAGGTGGCCCCGTGGAGCGGAGTCGTTGGGTTTGTTCTTGTTTTTTTATTTTTTTTTTTGCTTTCCCATATAGTTGTATCCTTTTACGGCTCTTTCCCCTTCGAACTACGGGTCTTCGAGATGTCTGCTAGTAGTGGGTTGGGGTTCATTGTCCTGGTGAGATTGGGGAGAGAGGGGCAAAGCGAGCAAGGATTAGATGACGATGGCGATGCTGTGATGGGTGGGGAATTGACCCCGAGCACTGGGCTGTCTTTCTTGGTGATGATGATTGGCTTGTGCGGGTTCGAGGGGGGTTCTCTCGGAGATGCATGGCCAGAGGGAGAGGGATCTAGGGTCAGTGGGGATGGATTATAGACAGCCAGCCAGCCAGCAATATCCAGAATACTTTCACTACCCCCCCCCCTTGCATGTGCTGGGTCCACGGTGGTTGACGGTGGCGAAAAGAAGGGATTTGCATTTTGCATTTTGCATTGGGCAGGGAGGGAGGAATTTAGTTTGCGAACCCGGTGGTGTGGTTGTTGGGTTCCTTTTTTTGTTTCGACTCAATCGGGGGTTTTTTTGTAGGAATTGGGGAAGGTTGTTTTGGATGATGCCCTACGGCTTGATGATGGCTTCCCCGTTGGAACTTAATCCTTTTGGTACGAGGTGGGTAAGTATGTCGTAGCGATTAAGGTATTGAGTACATGCTTCGTCTATCATACTCTACATGGTGATCACCACGGTCAAGGTCAAGTCTTGACAATCACGAGGCAGGAGAGGGAGATAGAACGGTCCTGCCCCATCGAGGTGACAGATTTCTCCGATTTGGAGAAAAATAAAGTGGAGGAGCAGGGGTGCATTGGAACTTAAGGTTTCGCTGGGGCTGCTTCGCTCTGACAAATTGTTCCATTCACGGCTTCTTTGTTTACCATACCGTACGCTCAATCGTTACCTTACTCTTCTCACTGCCGGCTGTTCTGCATGGAACCATTGCCGTTTTTAATATAGATTGGGACTGTAGCATGGTGCTCCGGTTGAGTGTCGTGCAGCTGCTATGCATGCGCTACTGTCAATCGGGAATGTCGGGGGAGGAGAGGGTGTATTTTACTGTATTGTGGTATTGGTACCTGTTTTAATCGGAGGTTGTATAAGGTAGCACCGTGTGCTGGCAAAGGCTCGGTTTGATTGAGCAGAACATATTGATATAGTTGAAAGAAGACTCGATTGTGAAAGTTCTTTCTAAGTTAGCTTCTGTTCGGTTCATCTTGGACCTGGTATGTTGTTGATGTTCAGATGGAAAGTTGTCACCCGTATAGATTCAATTACTCCCACCGAGAAACGAAGCTGTCAGCGTGAAGTAGTACTGATGATATCAGCGAATTGTAGGCAGTCCGACTGTCTTAGCATTGACAATGAGCAACAGGCGATCGTCTATACCAGATAGAGCCGGATATAAGTTAACCAGTGCGGAAGCTGTCGAGGTAAATTCGAGGTATGGCCCGTTGTGAACAAACAGGTAAGATACACTGCTATACGGATGCATCCATACTCATCATACCACCAAGCCTTGCGCTGATATCATCTTGGCCCAGCAGGTCAGCTTCCAGACTCCTGGGTACAGAACAACAAACAAACTCTGTTGCACTCAGCCACATGCCAGGTGTCCGGGAACTAGAAAAAGCAACAGGCAGGAGGTGTTGTCTGTCACCGCACAAGACAGTCGGAATTGCTAGCAGAGTTCCCCGCCAAGCTTAAGAGGATTAAGGAAAGAGAGCCGGGTGGTCGAGACGGGGGTTTCGGGCTGTGTTTCCGAGTGGATGTCACGGCAGTGCACCTCACTGCACTGGGCAGGTCTGGATGATTGCCTACGTAGTAACTTTAGTGTCTAGGGACAGTACGGGAGGACTCAGTTTATTAGGTAGTCTTCTCAGAGGCTAGGCTAGGACCCAAGCGCTCCGTCGCCTCGGTTCGCCCGCCCGCTAGATTAGCCTACTTGTAGTTCAAGGTTGCTGGATTCCCAGGCTTGCAGGAGCAGCAACTTAGCAAGACTTCCAGTTTGCTTGGTCTCTATCCCGTACCTTGCTTACATACCGTCTGTCTGGCACTCCACTCACTGCATAGTCTGTCTCTCTTCCCCCTTCGGCACGGAGCGTGAGTATCTCTTCCCGTGGTCGATACCACCACTTTTCGATTGTCCAGACTCCAGAGTATGTCATGGGTTACTGAATCTGGAGCATCCAAATGAACATTTATTAGCGCTCAAAATTCATTATACCAGTGTCCCTAACGGGCCTGTTTGCTGCTTCTCATCTGACATTGAATATATGACGTCTAGGTGTGTCTCGACTATGTATGAAGAATCACCAGACACCGTATCTGCTGCAAGTCTATACGTAACAGTTGCCAGTGCCCAAAATCTGGATAAAATGCTGAAGGGTAAATTTAAAATCATGACTTCTCAAATACTAGGATAGAAAAATAACCGCAAGCCAGCAACGAATTAGCCATGTGCTACCTATACCCTTAGCCTCCTGCCACATTTGCAACTTAACACTAACTTAACCCTTTTTTTTTTTTTTTTTTTTACTTTTACGCTCTCGTTACGGAGTACTTGACTTGACTTTTACTTTACATACTCTTACCCACCCCCCTCTTGCTCCTCCGTTTCCCCCCTCCCTGCCAGAAAGGTTTGTTCGGCTTCTATTTATCATTTGGCTCGCGCTGCAGTGCAGGTGGCCGTCGTTGCCTGCCTGATTTGTTTATCTTTGCTCTTGCTCGCTTTTTCTCTTTTTGGCGGCCACCAACTCAATTCATTACCACCACCCACCCACCCTTCCCTCCTCTTCACTTTCTTCCCTCCTCTACTACAACTAACTCTTACAACTACTTTCTCTTTCACCACCACCACCACCACCACTACTACTACCACAAAACATTGCGCCCTTTCTAATCCCTCCCGTGGCTTCAGTTCTCGTACGCCTCGATCACGCCCGATCCACACGATCTGACCGCCCTTCAGCCAATCAGTCGTGGTCTTCGGCTGCGACCCTACCAAGAGCTCACCGTCTTGCCGGGTGTCCCAAGTCTACGGTTTCGGGTCACGCCCGTGCGACCTGCCAATACTTAATCGTGGTTCCCGCTTTGTCTGTTCTATTTGGCACCCACTCGGTTCGATCAACAACATCCACCCCCCCTTCCACCTCCACCCTCCGCCCTCCACCCCTGGTCCCGGTCGCCCAACAACCACTTTATCATACTCGGATCGATCATCTCAAACCCGCCTGTCCCGATTCCGCACCTCGACTGTCCAGCGATTGGGATAATATGAATAGACCATTTTGCATCGAGGCCTGGCGCAGAGATTGAGTTCTTTTATACTGCAAGAAAAACGACAACCTTCCATTCATATCACCGACTTGGTTCACCACAATATTAGCCAGTCTCATCCTCATCAGACTGTGCGCCTTTCCGACATGTCGACACAACAGAGTTCCGACCTGTTCAGCGAAGGCAAGCACGAGGGTTTCTCCAAATATGTTAAACGCATAAGAACCGCAATGAGGAGGACCTCTACCATCAAGACATTTCCGTCGCCCGGTATACAGGGGGCTACTGAGGTACCCGCGTCCAGTCAGAACGCTACGTACGTCCGACCTCTCTCCTTTCCCCTTACAATTGTCAACATTGCCCCAATACTTACTTCGGGCCAGCCTGACAGCTACTCCTCTCCCACCTGCCATCAGTGTGTCCCCCAATGCGACCGTACTTTACAACTGGGGAGTCATCCAAGAACAGAAGGCGCGCGCCTTGTTCGCAAAGTATGGACTAGCCATCGAGCCGGGAGAATGGAAGGCGCCTAGCGACATGACCGTGCAGCGAGTGGTGAGGCCGATCCGTATGCGAGTCCGCCGTACCTGCCACCGCTGCCAGACCATTTTCGGGCCCAACAAAGCTTGCGTCAATTGTCAACATGTTCGCTGCACAAGCTGTCCGCGGGACCCCATTACGAAGCCCGACGACAAACAGGCACAGACTGAAGCCGCACTCCAAACCCTCCTGTCGCAAAAGACGCCTGAGATTGCCCCGGCGCCGCGCCAATCCAAAGAACCTCGCCTGACCTTACCCTCACGTACCGGTGGCCAGGATTTGGTCCACAATCCACCTCGCCAGAGAATTCGGCGAACTTGCCATCGCTGCAACACCGTTTTCGCGGCAGATGCTATGGAATGCAATACTTGCAGACACATTCGCTGTACTCTGTGCCCTCGCGAGCCGTACGTTGCGCTATTTCCATTCATCGGAGCTATGCTAACAAGATGTAGGGCGAAGCTTAACAAATACCCGAATGGTTATCCCGGAGACGCCGAGCCTCCCTCGGAACTACCTGCACGGACATGGAAGAAGCCCCGGCAACGGGTTCGATACTTCTGTCACCGCTGCAACAACGTACTACAATCGCGAGAAACCATTTGCTCCCATTGCGGGCAAGAGAAATGTGACGAGACCATACGAGATCCGTAAGTTACTGAAGCGGTTGCTCATAAGCAAGCACGTGTTGATCCATTCATTGCAGGAAACGCAAAGAAAGGCCAAAACCCGACCCTGAGATATCGAAACGAGTCGAAGAACGATTGGCGCATGCGAAGATAGTGAGCACGGGATCAATGGAACGCTGAAACGATCATGGTTACTTCACGCTGCGATTCACGGCCCTAGTAAAATGCTCAACGAGTTCTCTCTTTTTCCCTCACCAGAGCGTGGTCAGCCCATACGGCCGGTCTATTCCCAGATTTCTTGTCCCCAGTCTGGACAGCATAAGAAAAAGCCCAGACGAAGAGCCACCGAGAAGAGTTTGATGGGGGCACAGTAGGGCTGGTCCTAGTGATTGGTGCATCTTGAAGCCTCAATCAGGATTATTTGCCCGTTGTGCAAGGCCTGTGGATATGCGCTTACGATGGTAACTATGCAGCAATGAACCAAACCCACGATGTTACATCGCCGGACTTGCTACGAAATTAGGTCCTTGCAATTTCCAGATACCCTTTTTGGCCGAGGCATTACGTGTTTCTAGACCCAAATTCATTTTCGAAGGTTCGGATGGCGAGTCAGGTGTGATCCGCAATCGAGAAACTGCATGTTAGAGCGTTAGCCGAAGCAGGACTAGAGTGATGGAGTGACGGAGGGTCTAACCACAACCGCGGGCTGCTGCAATCAAACCTAAATAGAGGGTGATGATTGACAGGACCCGCAATGGTGTTGAAGATGGAAGAAGTCGAGCCAATGATTGAGCAGGGCTGGAAGAAACTGCATCTGTCCTTGGATGTAATCTAAATCATATATTGAGGCCACCCAGTCTAGAATCGGAGGGACGCTGAGTAATGATTAGAGAGGGGCTCCACTGGGCCCCGCTGGGTTGGATTCAGTTCCCGGCGGTTTGGTGACCGTGTCGTCCCATGCCTCGGTCAGGGGAAGGGGGTGTTCTCTTTACATTGTAATGCTGGAGCTATCGCATCAAGTGATCGTAAAACTGTGTGGTGATTATGCAGCCGTTTGCATTCCAACCAGTATATCTTTACAGGACCTCTATAGACCTCCAGGGTATATTCAACCTGATAACCGATAGGTAAGCAGGTAGGTAGCAAGTCCCGAATCATCCGAAACCACATGGTGGTGCAGTCCGATAGAAATCATGCAACCCAGGCCCTGTCACTGTCACAACCCTGGATAAATAACACCGTGAATTAATTATACGTCCAGCATGTCGCAATTAGTACCGTAATCCTCTAGCGCCGCTTGTCTCCCTAAGCCCTTAATCCTCCCCCAGAAATAACATGAATTTCACCCAGAAACATCCAACCATTAATTTGACCAAAAAAAATCCCCGACAAAACTCCGTCCAACGTCCCTGCACTCGGCCGGAACTCTAGGACTGGGGGGTTTAAACGGGGAACCGGGGGGTTTGAAGAACGGTACCTAGTAGACTAGTTAAGTTACTTAACTACCTGAAGCTAGACTGGAACCCAACCCGCCGGCGCGCACGGATCAATTTCTTTTTATGGATCTATGGGTACGTACCTACTAGGTGCCGTAATGCAGATTTTTAATTTGAGGAGTCCTCTGTAAGTAAGTTTGGGGTTTGGTGTGGTGTTTTGTGGAGGTTGATTTGCATGCACTGTATATTTATACTTAGGCTAGGAGTTGTCGGTGGTGGTGGTGGTGGTGGTGGTTACGGGGTAGGTAAATGCTATTTTTTTTTGCTTCTGGCTTCTTGCTTCTTGCTTCTTGCATTTCTTGGGGTAGGATCGTCGGTTGTGGAATGGTTGCGTACAGGGGAGGGGGAGGTTGCGTGCGCCCTGCCAGCGCATTTACGCCACGTTCTCCGGGGGAAGTGTGTCTTTGTCTTTGATTCAATATACAGTGTGTTCCTATACGTATAGTCATTCATTACAGATGACAGTATCGAGACCTAGGCGTTCTTCATCAATCTGTAATCCTCTCAGTACTCGCTTGAGATTGGTATTGCCTACCTACCTATACAGGGGTGACGTCGGTGCTCTGGCGGGTTGGGAAATTCATCATCATCATCATCATCATCATCATTATCATCGACCCTGAAAAGGGGATTATGCAGTAAGAGATATGTACCTAAGGTGGTACAGTACAGTACATGTACACTGCAACTGCAGAAACCTGGAATCGAAGATCATTGATTTTTATGGCGGGCGGTGGATACCGAGACCGGGTTCCCCGCGTCTGACGTGCCAAGATCTCAATGGGGTATGAGCTGAGGTATGACTGCACTGCCTGCGCCGGGCACCTCATGCCATTTGCACTAGGTTACGATATTGTATGGTACGGTATATACTGAGAATGTAGGCGTGGCAGGTTGAGGGGCTCTGGGAGTTGGATGGGTGTGAGGGAAGGTGGATGGTCTTGTGGCGTTGTCTGCTATATTTACAGTACCTGCTACGAAATGGTAACCGGGATTTTGGTTGAAGAAGATAGGTCCGTTGGGTGGGTGAGTTCCCTGGGTTCTGGGGTTGAGGGCCGATGGCTGTTTTCTCTGGTGATGCTTGCGTTGAGGGTGATGTACTCATATCAGGTGCTTAGATACTTGTGGACTGGTGGACTGGTGGTGGTGGTGGTCTGATGGGTCACTACACGTCAGTAGCTGAAGGTTTCATCTGGTGGGCTGCAACTGGGAGTCTATACTTGGGTTCTTTTATGGAGTCAATTCAAAGTTCTGTCCCGGGTCTGCTGCTTCGAACCGGGGAGCAAACGCATGTGGCCCGGGGATGTCGGTTCCTGGTAATTATTCTCCGAGGAGGGGGGTTGTGTCTACCCTGAGGTGGGTTGTCAATGGTTGAGTGGTGACACTTGGGTCGCAAAGATAACTTAGGTGTGTAAGTAGGTTGCTTGTGCGGGTGATGCAGACTCCAAAGGTAGTTTGTGTTCTGTCCTTGCAGTCCTCTGGTAAGCTTGGGTGAGCTGATTCGGAACTGTACGGTTGATATCGTCCGGTGCTTGATACTGTAGACCTCTTTGCTGCCCACTGCTACACTTATTGAGGACAAGTACTGTAAACTAAACAAGAAACAGTGTCCCCGCTCTGCGCCCTCGGATTCAGTAATACCTCCCGCAAAGACACCCAATCACTAAACTACTTCAGCAGTGACAGCCCGCCGGGTCGGCCTCCCGACGGTTCGTATCCAGTCAAAGCTTAACGGGTGCCAATTGGCGACAGTGGCGTCCGTGGAACCTGGATCCCGGAGTGCCGCCTGCTCAAATCCTGCCGCTTCATTGGGCTGGTAGCAGAGGGATCGGTCGTGTCCGGGTGGAGCAAGTTGGGATCGGAGACGGGAACGGAGTAGGAGTAGGAGCAGGACGCCCGAAACAGAGTGAGACCGAGAAGGATGAGAAGCGAGGACAAGTGGCGTGTCGCATTGCGGTGTTGTTCGGGCCACAGAGTTGTGTAACCTCTGGCTTCTTGAAGAATTCTTTTGCCCCATGCACGAAAGACTTGGTTCCAAGTTACCACTGGGGTCTTCCAGTCACGGGATGATGAATCAATTGGGATAGTTGATTGGTTGAGTCCCGTATTAGAACTGGGAGATAGCGGTACCCTGTTGGTGAGCATATTTGGGCAATATCTCAAATTTTATCACTGTGTCGAAGAGATGGCACATCTGGCGGTGCAGCTGGTTTCTCGTGGAAGGCTGCATCCCTCTGACCGGTCCGATCCGTGGATGATCCGCGGGACTGGCGATGGATGCACTACCGAGGATCTTCACGTGGATTTCGCAATATCATGCACTGGCTGCTTAGAGGGCATTGACTGGGAGGTTTGCGGAGGCTCTAGGCTTGCAGGTCTGGATTCAATCAATAAGTTAGGCAGTATACGTCTAAGTCAGATGAGGTTTGCTTTTTCTTGCCCACCTTTCAATGCGCACTCAATTAGTTGTATATCGGTATCAACTCTGTAATATTCTCGTCTAGCTGGTCATCAAATCCAAGGAAATTGATACAATGGGATCAATATGCGTCAAGTCGAACAAGGTAGAAATTGGATGCCCGACCAAGGTTTGAATTCCTCAATGCAACAGGAGCATCTACTGTCGAAGCATGGTAATACATGGTACCTAGTATACAAAGCAACATTCCAAAACCGATCACAGCTCAGTAAGAGACCAGATAGGAAAGACCCCCATCGTTCTTCCCTCACCGCTTCCCCAGGGGATAAACCACTACCCGACTATTCCTCCACTGCTTCCACTCTACTCCCTCCCTGCATCACTTGTCCCCGAGCACAGCCTTCGAGAAAAAAGAAATATGACTGCTCCATTCTCCGTCCCAGCAGATTGGCACCGAATGAGAGCCATCCCTGCACCTGCTGCTCTTCCTGCCGCATGATTCATGCAGCGGTTGCCTTGCTTACCCAAGAACGAGCGGCCTCCAATTACCTCGAATATGGGGCGGGCGTATGCAAGCCCCGATCATCCTCACCCCCCCCCCCCCAGTGATCCTGTTTTCAAGCAAACAAACCTGCAAATCCTTGGGACGTCTACACGGCGCACTGCTGAGTGGGACATGCCCCGGATGGCATGGACTTTGCTGGAACGGGAGGCGCCACATGTTCCCTCTAGCGCCCTGCGTGTCGCGCCATGTGATTATCCGATGGTATGGTTGCAGCTCGTATATCTTACAGGGCAATCAACCCCCGTGAAATTTACAGTTTGTACATACCGGTCTTGTGGCAGGTCGTACGGTGACTGTTTATTCAGTACCTGGTTTCATTACTGACAGGGAGTCCCAGTCGACATGTTCATGTATTTTTCTAGGGTACACTGAAGCTCTTTGTACAGAAAACCTTGATTCCATGAGAAATATCCATCCAAACTTGCTCAATGGTCTGGTGCCCTCCAGCAACAACATCCAGTCATTCCCCCCATTTCAAGCGCTTTGAGATCATGCCATCGAACTCATCGCCGGATCGCTTGCGACCGCCAATACAGCTGGGGCAGTGAATGTAGAAATAGGAGTGTGGGTGGTATCCAAGGTTTTCCAGGGCAAAGTTCCTTCCAATAAACTCGGTTTTCCCCCAATCGAGACAATCTTCGCAGAATGCGAGCGGACACCTCGCACAACAGAACAAGAGCCCACCGGCCTCAGATGCCCT